AATGGACTACAAGTATGGCTTCAATAGTTATGTTCTCCATGGTAATCAATTTTGTGAAACATTAAAACATCATGTAAGGGCAATGTCAAACAATTGTTTCTCTAAACAATTATGCATTTTCATTATGTCAAACTAGCAACTTGTTTAATGTCTGCTTATTTGCTTTTTTTCATCATGATGACCAACGTTCTTCCTAGCTAATTTTTTGGTTCAACTCATCTGCAATGAACTTGGTTGAAATTCTATCTCCTTCTCCAGCTCAAAATCATCTTGCAGCTCTTTCTCGTACAAGTCATTAGTGAAGCTCGGACCATGTGAAGACATGAAGTCATCAATAATTGGTTCGACATTCTCTAGTTCAAGTTGGCATCTAAAACATGCATTGAGCATTGACCTATCGTGGCTATTGCAATGTTGCCACTACAAATCTTCTCAAAATTCTCATACCGGTGCTAAGGTTTCCTATAGAACCATGCCATTTTAGAGTTGTCGTACAATAAGAAATATGTTTGGATTAGGAGCAATAGAAGTTATAGGATACATTAACTCAACCTCCATTCACATATAATAGAATAATTAAATTTAAACTTTAACCTAAATGATCTCATCCCATCTATGATGCACTGACACGGACACGTCGACACGGACACAACACGACACTGACACGGGACACGGCATTTTTTAAAAATATAAGACACGGGTGCGGCGTGGACACGACATAATAATGTTTTAATATAACATATAGAAATTAAGATGACATGAAGTGAAATCAAAATATCTCAATAATAAGACAACATGAATACAACAATATACCGGTCTGTTAGGGGTCCAAGGGGGCGCTGCCCTTTAGTGGGGTTCAACCTGTCAAGGTAAGAGTAATTTTGAAGTTCAGCATTTTTTTTAAAGTTCGTAAGTTATTTGTATGGAAAGATACCGAGCATGTACCGAGCGGTACCGAGCATGTACCTAGCGGTACCGAGCATGTACTGAGCGATACAAAGCATTTACCTAGTGGTATCGAGCTTGTACCTAGCGGTACCGAGCGATACCTAGCAATACCGAGCATGTACATTAGCTTTTTTTTTTTTGTAAGTTTCAAAAAACAACAATTAATATTTCAGGAACCGAGTCAGGCGTCGATGCCATTTATCAGTCAACGAGAGAGGAGATGAAAATACCTTCACTGCCAAAAAGAAATTAAAATGAGAATATTCGATGATTGGGTATTAAGTGCGAACATTGATTTGGTGTTGTGGATAGGAAATAGGAAATTTAATTTAAATCCCGCAAAATACAGTAAATTATATTTAAAAAAATTCATAAAATATTTATGATACACGTGTCGGACACGCGTGTCCAATTTGCATTTAATATTTTTTAATCAGACACGTTTTCGACGTGTCTGACACGTGTCGGAGGAGTGTCGGACGAGTGTTGTGTCGGACACGGTGTCGGATACTGCGCGCCTCTTTGAGGAGAAGTGTCGGTGCATCATAGCATCCCATACATCATGTAATACCCAAGCAGGTGAGTTAGATTAATTATCTTTAATAAATTTATGTTAAATAAAATGGTTAAGTAATGGTAAATAAAATTAAATATATCTATATTTCTGAGGAGGTGTTGCAAAGGGCTGTGAAGGTGTAATAGTAGTTATGTGAGTGGGCAGTTATTCTAGACTAATTTTTATTTCTTATATGCTCTGTCACGTAAGCCAATTGATTGGAATTAGGTGTTTTAATAGGATGAGAATGAAAGCAGTTATGTAAGTGTGTGGGCCCTCTCTCATTTCTCCTTATGTTTGGATTACACAAGCCAACAGAGATATTTTCTGTTTTGTTTCACGCAAAGCCAAGTGAGAGAGTTCAGCACAGTGTTCTTCACTATATTCGGCACAGAACTCTGAGGAAGAAATCGCATAAAGCAGAATTTACTGTAGCAGTGTTCGGCCACTGTGACAGGTTTCGGCATAATTCGTATAGCAGTAGTTGGCATTGTGGGATATTGCACAGTGAAGATAATGATATAATGCTGAAGGGATTTTGTAGCTGTGAAGGAAAGGAAATCAACAGTACAAGTATTAACAGTATAGAGAAATAGAATTTATTTAAAAGCAATAATAAAGATTTGGACGTGATTAAATTAGAATTGTGTGATGAATTGTAGTTTGATGAGAGTGAGCAATTGATTTGAGGAAACATTGAAGAAAGAATAAGAAAGAGTAGAAGAAAAGAATAAGAAGAAAGAGTGGAAGAAAGGAATACCGGAAATGAAGAAGAAAAGTTAAGCGTGAAGAAATCAGGGTAAGCTATTTTGGTATTATGCATAGTAGTTGTATGGATTTCTATAAAAATTCTTAAAGATGTTGTATCATATGGTGTCCTAGATTCATCTAGTCTTATGCAGAATTGCAGAGAGAAAGTTTTTAAGTGACTTATAATCATAGAAGAGTGCGAAATAGGGAGTTGGAGGAGACACCTCGACAAGAAAGTAAGTAATGCAAGTTTTTTTTTTTTTGAAGTATATATTATCATTAGACATGTACAATGATTTTAATGACATTTTGAAAAGTAGTCATGAAAGTATATAATTCGATATAATGAATGTTTGATCAACCTTTTGTGAAAAGCCTAGAAAAGGATATACCTACAAGTTGCCAAGTATGATTAACCACTTACATAAATTAATTATGTGAGTTTAAAACAACGTTTATTATGTTCATTTAAATGTTTTTCTTATCGATAATATTTTTGAAAATATATCATTTTCTTTAATTATTATATGCATATTCCTGATATACATATGATAATATGAAGGATTATGAAAGAATGAAAAAAGTATAAAATCTGAAAATATAAGATATATTGAATATCAATTTAAAATAAAGTTTGGCTATATATGATATATGACTAAAAAGTGTAGTCGAGACAAAAGGGTTCCCAAACATGAAACTACATTGTAAGTGGGGCAAAAGAAACCCCAAAAAAATAAAATTTGCATAGCAGGTGGGGAAAAAGGAACCCCTAAAGAGGCAAAAAGAACCTCTATGTAATTCAATGGCGATAATGTCAGGTTTACCTGGGCATTAAATATGTTTATGAAAGAGTAGGCAAATCTTTTAATGAGTAAAATTGATATTCAGTATGAATTTAAGAGAAAATAAATGTTAATGTCAAATGAGGTTTTTATGAAATTTTCTCAAGTAGTTTAACTTTTATTTATGTTTTCAATGTTATGAATTTTATAATCATACAAGTTAAATATTTTTTTTTAAGTTGCATAACTTATTGAGCCTCATAGCTCACTAGTATTTTCTTATTGGATGTTGTTACAGGAAAGTACAAGGTGAAAATCATAGCAGGTTAAATTGTCAAGAATTTCATATGTTATGTTATGTTAGTATTTATCTTTGTTTGAAGTTTGAGCTTGAGATATGTAAAATTTCTAGTTATATATTACTTTGATTAAATGTTTCCATTTGATGAGATGTGTTAGAACTGAACTGTTTGATGTTTTATGAAAATTATCAAATGTTCAAAAGTATCGTATGATCAACTAATGAAAAGTATGCGTTAGTAATACTCTTTGTACTGTTAAGAGGTACTATGGGGTGTTACACATCATCTCTTGCTTTAGGGAGATGCATATTTTCACCCCATATACACGTCACAACATAAAAGTTGATTTAAGATTCAAAAATAGGATTCCATGTTCTTAAACCTTATCATAGCAACTGACTATATTTACATAGCTAGTTCCCAAACATTGATTTAATGTGTACACAAACCTCGCACCATGCTTCCTTCAACACGCCATTCAAAATACTTTGAAAGAGGAATTGCTTCGTGTGTAAAACACCTAAAACAACATTATGTTGATCAGGCCATTTTGGAGTTATACTTGTGCACTTTAGCTAATCAATGTGAACATACACATTGCCTTTCAGAAATGTCAGCTAATGCCTACGAGCTAGAAATGTCAGATTGCATTGCCTTTCCTTTCAGAAATCTCTTCATTTCTATTGTAAAAGTAATGTAATGAAGTACCATTTAGACGCACAAAAAGGTTGAAAGGTTGTTTTCATAAATGTTAAAACAACAAAAGAATTATACCAGTGTTATTTTCAATTTTCCTAAAATGATAGCAATTTCAGTTACAGGGTAGGGGTTAATGTTTTATACCTCCTTATCACTCAAGTAGTCAAAGATGCCAAAAGCTTTTTTTGTGACAATATTTTATTTTTGATTTTCCAAAAATTTTCAAGGAATGATTCTCATTATTTGATTTTCTCCTTTCTTTTATAGTTTGCTTGTGGTCATCAAAGTGTTTTTTATTTTGATGTGCAATTGCAATGTTATTGATCATCACACCCTCCAAGTTAATCATATTCCTATTTTTAAAACAAAGTTATGATATAAATGTTTTGCATAAAAATGGCATAATTTTTTATTAATTGTAATTAATTCACAAACAAAACAGATGAATTATCAATCAATAACAAAAGTCGATAACTTACAAAAGAGTTAAGCAAGGATGGGATTCAACATCTAATAAATGGAAAATGGTTAGCATGTAATGAAAAGCACTCTGGAATATTACAGAAATTCATACAAACACAAACACATATCTATAAAGAGAGATAGATGGGAAGAGAGAGACATGCATAAAAAAAAAGTATCAAACACCAAACCATATAATAAATCAATGTCATTCAGCTCATCATTCAATTACAGTCTGTGTAAGAATGCTTGAAGCTTCAAAAGTTTTCGTGTCCACAAAATTAACATTGCAAACACATAATTATTGGCTTCACAAGTTAATTTGCTCAAAGGAATTTTTTGTCCACAGCCTATCAAACTCTATGACAAAGGAACTTTAGATTACAACATGGCTACTGGTCAATCTCCTAATTAAATAAAGAAATATAAAATATGTAATCAGAAACAAATCTCAAAGAAAAACTTATAAAAAAGTTGGATATTCCAACCAGACAATATTACCTTGTCAGCTATCAGAGGATCATATAACCTATTGGCCTGCTCACGACGACATTCATAATCTTTTATGAGCCTTGCAGCTTCGGATGAGCATAATAGTAGTGAATTTTCGAGCTCCCAGGTAGCTTGGTCATAGCCAAGCCCTTTCCATTTCACAAACCACTCAATACAACAATCCCAAGATCCCGAAATAGACATAGAAGCACACTCATCAGCTGCTTCAAGGGGCGCTAGTAATCTTTTCTGTAACAAACGTTCAGGCTCAGTCCATTCTTTTCTCCACTTAATTACCTGGTCAATGTAAACCCAAACTAATTAATATGTTAGATATGATAAATTCAAGTCTCATTTAGAAGCCCATCCAACAGATCATTATGGTTTAACAATGCAAGATAATAAATAAAAATGCAAGGAGGGATGGAGGGGTGAAAAGAGAGAGAGTGAGAGAGAGAGAGAGAGAGAGAAAGATAACAGACCTCTTTCTGGTTTTTATTCCTAAAATTGGCTAAAAGTGAAGGGGCGATGTGCAACAGCTCGCTTTCAGGAATCCAACGATTATGAACATGGGCAAGGCCTTTGTATTTGACAAAATATCGCTTTCCACACTGCATTCCTAACACCATAAGGTCCATGACAATCTCAGAATTCAATGTTCCTGCAAAGTATGCTCTACAAACCTTAAAAAACTGATTAGTTCAAAGAATCCTCACCTTCTTCATGAAACCAAACCGATTCTATCCCATCCGCCACACTGTACACGCCTAAATCCATCTTCTTTTTCACACAAAAATTACAGAGCCAGGCACCAGGTGGAACATCATGCAAAAGTGGATTGAAACAAGAAAGATGATAACTTCGTTTGCAGCCTTTTCCACAACAGCATCTAAGGTTAAAGTTAAATGCAAATTCAACAAATTCTAGGGTAAGGAGTCATAAATAAAGAAGAAAGTCAAAGATAGCAAACACATATGTTAACTAAAGCATGCATTTAGTATCCAACTTCAAATCTTACATCAGCTTTTTTTTCCTTTTCAAAAACAATAAATTTTTCATTACTAGCCAGAGAAAAAATTTACACAAGGAAATAGTTGCAAACTGCCTACAAAAAAGAAAAGAAACAAAACACATCTGTTCAAGACTGTCAGCAGTGGGAGTAATTTTGGTCTAAACAAAAATGGTAGAGCCACATTCAAGCACCTACGATGTCAAGAATGCCAAATCTAGAAAACCTCAGAATCATTATTTGCTTAGAGCGTCTCCAGCTGATCGGCAAACGCCCGAATGCAGATGCTCCGACCTCCCAATCGAACGCGATTTTTTACGCCATTCATATGCTGATGAACAGTGCGACGCCAATATTGGCGTCGCACTGTTCATCCGCCATTTTTTTTTAATATATAATTGATTTTTAATTTTAAATGTTTAAGTATAAATATATATTTGCTTATTTAGAACATATTAATATCCCAATTTTTTTATATCGAGAAAAGAAACATAATTTTTAAAATTATAATAGGGTTAAAATTGTTAAATATAAATATATGATTAAAAAAATTTAAAATAAAATAAGAAAAAGAATATGCTAGTAATATTCTTTTTTTTATGTTAGAAAATGAAGTTCGATTGGAGTCAAGTTACTGCATTTTGGAGTGGAAAATGAGTTTTTCGGTTGGAGATGCCCTTACATGGTTCAGATAACATAAAAGAATATTAGAAGATTCAGAAAAAGAATTAAAACCAAAACACAAAGAGACTCACATGAGCTGTCCAGGTTGTTTACAGACCAAACATACATTATGCATGGGAGCAATACCAGTCTGAGTATTGGTAGATTCTTTTGCAGGGTTTCCAAGGAACTCTGAATTACAGACACCACCATCTCCAACACCTAGTTCCTAGTAGGATGATAAACAATTAACGGAGAAAACAGTTAGCAATTCGAACTTTCAGAAGGAGAGATAGATGCCACATGTAGCCATGGACAAATAAACATAGGGAGAAAGAGATGCAAAGAGAAAAATAATTAACAAAATAAAATGTGCCACTTTGTTAGAAGATAGACAATCAGGTAAAACAAATTTAGCCCTATAGTTAGAAAGAAAATGATTGTCATCAAAAAGTTCAATGATGTCAAATGATAAGTAATCAGAAAACATTTCATTTATTTACCTCTAACATGGAAGAACGTGATTCCATGTTCATCTCACAAGGACCACGATTGCATATTTCTTCTCCAGATGGTTCTAATAAATTGTCGGAATCCAAATTGGGAATCACTCTTCCACATTTGGACCCACTGAACTTAATCTTATGTTCTTGATTAATAGACCTGGCATCAAAAGCAGTATCTAGAGGCTTTGTATTGTTTGACTCCTTTTTCTCCAGCAAATCAGTAGTTTCTATACATAGCCCTCTCTGATCTTGTACGCCCTCCTTTGTGCTGTTCACATCTCCACCCTCCTTTACTTCCTTTGAAGTATTTACTCCTAAATCCATATATATTCCTTCCAGTGGAGATTTCCCATTAGCACACTTGTCAACTAAACATGCAAGTTAACAAAGCAAGGATAAGAATACAAACAACTTAAGAGACATTTAATCAAGAAATAGGGTGGCATAAGAGAGTCTTTTTATCAAGAAACAGTTGAGAAGCCACAAAGCTATACAAAAGAAAAAACATGAGAATCATTATAGATATAAAGAAAACCACTACTTCTTAAGTCAAATTGCTTGAGAGGCTGCAGAACCTATTTCAACAACAAATAAAAAATTCAAGAAATAAAAGAATTACATACCATGATTTCCAGCTGCTTTTGCAGGTTTTTTAAATAACTTTTTGTAGGCACAAACATGCAAATGTTTTCTGATTGTCTTCTTACCACCGTCCTCACTTTTGCTATCAGTCACTCCCAAAGTTCTACTTTCGCCATTCACCTTTTGCAGTTTAGATTCTGGAATTGACCTCCTAATGGAGTTCTCAGTACTTGAAGAGACACTCTTTCCATCCTCATTTCTCTTCATTGTTGGCAGTGTTCTCTTGTTGACTTTATCACAAGCACTCGAAGATCTGATCTTTGGTGGGCTTATACTTGTGTTGGCTTTAGCACAAGTACTCGGAGATCTGATCCTTGGAGGGATAGCACTCTTTTTGGTTTTATCAATAGTGCTCAAACATCCGATCCTTAACTGCTCCTTCCTATTCTTGATTAGAAATTCATTAGCACACTTCTCTGAATTAATATTACTTGACGACCCACCATTTTCTGCTCTTACTGATCCTCTCAAACGGCTTTCAGGTACTTTCTTTCCAGAGGTTTCCAATTTGTTTAAAGATGGTGCATTTAGTTTATCAATCTTTCTAGCTCTATGCTTAGATGCAATGTCTTCTTTAATAATCTTCGACCGTACTAAAAAAGTATCTTGAACCATCTTCTAGTGCTAGTCAAACATGGCTATAAGCACAACTCTTAACCTCCAAGCTCGTGTCAGCTGCACAAATAGAGAAGAATTGAGTTTTGTTTCCTTGAAAATACAAAATAATGGTATGATGAACACAATGCTGACATAAAAAATACTCATAAATTATGCTTGTTGGTTCAAAAAAATAAATGCTAGAATGAAATTCAAGAAAAAAATGGAAAAAAAAAAATAATAAAAAACAAAAACTATCCATTAAGGGGGACTAAGTTTAAGCTAGATAAACCAGTAAATCACAGCCATTTTTAACCTGAAAAATTTAAGTATGTGGGTGATAGTCAATCACTGGTATTTCTAAATCAATATTTTTTTCAACTATTTGATGTGGTATCAAGCCTAAATATTCTCAACTAGCTTCACATTCTCCCCCTCACATGAGAATTTTCCAAATTGGTCATCACTCCCCACAAATGTAAATTTCTTTAGCATTATCAAGTATTATACACCAAAAGCTCACTCAGCCACATAAATTCATCATGGAAGTCAACTGCTCTTGAACCTTCAACAGCGGTTGAAGGAAGCCATAACACACATGAACCATTCAATCTCAGTCGAACCATTCAATGAAAAATTTACAATCAAACAATTAACTTTGATATCACTTGATAAGGAGTATGAAAATCAAATGGATACCAAGGTTAAGCAATACACTAATGGTCAAGCATGCATTCAACACGAAAGTTTAAGTCTATGAGTAAAGGCCAACTACTTGGTATTTCCTTGTCAACAAATTTTTCTACAATCAGATATCAAGCTAACCCAATAGTCTCACATACATCAACAATGCACCCTGAACAAACCTATAGAAATTATCATAATAGCTCAATGAAAGAAAGAACTTCGAAATAAAATAATTCTCACTCGCTCACGTCACATGAACACAATGCAAAAGAGGAAAAACGGGTACTCAACATAAGCCTCGATATTCTAAAGTTTTCAGCTCCGGCAAACCAAAAATGATCAACAGAAGTATCTTAGAAGCAATGAAGGAATTCGAGGCGAAAAGTTGAGCCACCCAAGACTTAGTAAAAATCATCACAGCTATGTATAAGTATGCAAGCTTTTCCCATAAACCCACTTCAAGATTTACATGAAAGCTTCGCCCCGAAATTTGAGATAAAGCATTTCCCTGCCTCAAGCTTTCAATCAACATAGAGATAAACTATAGACATGCACTGCTTGGAAGAACCAACCTAGTCCAAAGACACTACCTAGAGACCCAAAAACTGTTCCGAAAGAAAAACTCGAACTCGAGAAACCAGAGAGAAATGAAACAAATGCTTACTCCGCTCCGCGAATATGAGACGCGCCTCGATGACTTCTAGATATTCCGCAGCCAGCACACCCTAAATCCGTTGCGCCGGCGACGACTGCCCCGTTTCGGAGTTATGAAGCAACGCAGCCGACGAGAAGATCTGCAACAGCTTCCACTGAACCTTTTGGGATTTTCTAAAAATAAGCGAGAAATCGGGGCTGAATTGAATAAAACTTTGAAATGCAACACTGTACTATCGACTATCGTGTGCCGTAATTACAAATTTGCACTTTCGATAGTTTTTTTATTAGGACTCTTAGAGTGAACTGTAATTTCTTTTATGTTTAAGGTCTGTTTAACTATTTCTTTTTAAATTCTAGGCGGTTACTTCGGTAACTCTGCCACCGTAGTGATTTATTTTTCTTATTTAGATTTTTTAATACGGTTTTTTTTTTACAATTTTTAAGTAAATAATTTAAATTTTTATTAAAATTTAATTTTAAAAAATAATATTATTATTATCTCAAATAAAACCTTAAATAATATTTGCACAATTAATTTTATAAAGCATTGTGTCACCGTCATTTCAAACACTCAAAAAGATTAAAAAAAATTAGGCATTATGTGAACAATTTACGAGAAGAAAGTATAGGGCTTGTTCAATAACAAGATATTAGTTTATATATCTAAGAATTGGGTCCCTAATGTGGGAACTTTTATTTGGTCCGGTCATAGAACGTAGCTCTATGTTCGGCCGTTAGTAGAATCGCGCCACGCGTTCTCACTATTTTCCGCGCACCCCGATAATCCGACCCGGAACGGACCCAGGATTGCTCGGTATTTCTCGATTTTGCTAGGTATTACTCGGTATTGCTAGGTATTGGTCGATTTTGCTAGGCAATAACCAATACCGAGCAAATACCGAGTAATACCGAGCAATACCGAGTTGTACCGAGTTTTTCTAGAAAAACTCGGTACAACTCGATATTGCTCGGTATTGGTCTTCACAGAGCGGTATTTTTCGTTATTGCCAAGCAATACCGAGCAATACCAAGCAAATACCGAGTAATACCTCGTAATACACGAACATAGCATTCCCGGGTTTCGGTCCGGGTCAAGTCATCGGGCCGCGCGGTAAAGAATAAGAGCACGTGGCAACATGTTATTGGCGGCCGAACGTAGCTCTACATTCGGTCAGATGATGTAATAATTGTTGTTCCTAATGTGGTGGTTGGAGGAACAGCAAAATTCATATTAGAATAGATTGATCCTTTTTATCACATCTGAGATATTATCAAAAATTTATCTTGATCGGGCGCAAATCTTGAGGCAAATTTGAGTTAAAAATCTTTGAAATTAAATTTGAGACCATCTGAACTCCGATTTTAGTAAACTTATAGTCGAACTAAACGTCTTAAAAAGATTAACCCAACTACACCAAATTCAACTCAATCTAAGCCCAAATGGATCCAAATCAAGGATCTAAAGTACATTTAGAAAGTTCAAATCATAAATTAGATGACCAAATGAATTTCAAATGTGACATGCTTATAATTGAATCGAATGACTCAATGAGATGAATCCAACAATACCAATATCGCTAAATTATGACATAATTAAGGTACTCAAATACTCGATAATGGTTCGTGATCAAGAGAATTGATATCGATCATCCATTCAAAACACTCTCAGCATGTCATTGATCTTCTCTCTATTTACTGACCAAGCTACTCCCTAAAAACTATAAATTGACCCTCAATCTTCACTAAAAGATGACCAAGTTGGGGAGAGAGAGGAGAAGAGGAGAAGAAAGAGAATCTAAGATCTCTCTAGCCACCAAGCTCCTCCTCGACCACCGATCATCATCGAGCTTTCGTCAGCCTTCCGCCCATCCACCAATTGTCACTAGACTTACGCTCAACCACCAATTGTCCTTCAATTTCCTCCCAGCCATAGATTGTTGCTATACTATGGTCCTTACAACCTTCGTCACCCACTGACTACTATGTTTCCAACCACTGTTAGCAACTATGGCTTACTGACCTCCATCGCCTAACTACGGTCCTTCTAACCATTGTCGCTCGACTATGGTCTTTTATGGTCTCTCCAACCACAATCTCCATACTACAATCTTTCTTACCTCCATCGCCCTCCAACTACGATCTCTCCGACCACCATCTCCATATAGTCTCCTTCCTACCAAGGTCACCTAACTATAGCATTTACTATAGTTTTCTTGATCTCCATCATCTGACTGAAGTCCTGGTCATCATCACCCGACTATGATCTTTCCAACCTCCATCACCAGCCGACTACGATCCATGTAACCACTGCCACCCGACTATGATCCTTTCAACCACTATCGCCCCATAACTACGGTCCTTTCGTCCACTATCACTGACTACTATCTTTCTAACCTCCATCGCTCGACTACTTAATACACTTCACTTGAACTAAATCCTTAATATTACTATCTTTTTGTTTGGCTAACTTACACATATGTTTTTCTCCCTCCTTAGTATATAATTTATTATATAAATCATTAAAAGCTAAGATATTTACATCGTATATTATTTTCATAAATTCCTTAAGTTCCTTTTTATATATTTCTCAATTATCAGAACTGTTACATCTAAATCAATCTTTATAACAAATATTCTTATTTTTTATCTTTTATTGCACATTTGGATTTTACCACAAACTATTTTTATTATTATGAGTTTTTTCCATTAATACTCCAAACACATCTTTTGTAATATTTTTAATATTGTTAGTTAATTTTTCCCACATAATATTAGCATTCTCATACATAGAAAAAATCTTAAGATTTTACTCTTAAATATATTTTTGTCAATATTCTTTAAATGCTCTCATCTAATCCTAAAATATTATTTTACTTTATTTTTTATTTTATGTCACTTCATCCTAAAGTCCAAAACTAATAAGCAATATTAGATACATAAACTTTCACTTGAAATAACTTTACAATCATTGCAATCTAAATGATTTATTTTCCTTATAAGAAACAAATTAATATGAGTTTTACTATATCCATTAGTATAAGTGATGAGATGCTCTTCTCTTTTTTGAAAAAAAAAATAGCAATTATAAAATTACAAGCTAAAGAAAAATTTAATATAATCTTACCACCTTTATTAGTCGCTCCAAACACATATCCACCATGAATGTTTTTAAAATCATCTACCTCTCTATCAATATGTTCATTTAAATCTCCTCAAATAAAAAAAAATTCTTCAAAAGTTATCTTTTGTATTAATTCTTCTCAATCATTTTAAAATTTTAATTTTAAACTCATATTCAAATCTACTTGAGAAGCATAAGCACTTATAACATTAATAATCTTAACATCAACCATAATATTTAAAGCTATAATTCTATCTTCAATTCTATTAAATTTTTATAATATTATCTCTTATCTATAATCACGCATACACCATTTTTAATATGACTTTTACCATAATAATAAAGTTTAAATCATAAACTATCAATCTCATTAGCCTTCTCTCCAACCCATTTAATTTCATGAATGCATAGAATATTTATTTTCCTATAAATCATAATAGCTATTAATTCCATTAATTTACCTATAAGAATACCTATATTACAAGTTTTTATCCGAATTTTAGTTTGGACTAGCTTATTAGCCCACATCCGTCCTTAATATGAGTACCCTTGCCTATTTAATATTGCACCCACACTGCAGTGCAGTGGCTCTTGCACACTTGTCGCTAAATTTAGGTCAAAAATCACGTCATTTATAGGGAACACTCTAGCATTAACATAATGTACTAAAGGATTCATGTTATGATTATGCGATAAGTTTTATGTTGGATATTGATTACTTAACATAATCATCCACTTTTCTTATCTAAGACTTAAGATTTGACAATGACAGTGTTTAAGGATTATTTAATAAATAAAAAAAATTAATAAAGTTTAGAATTTCTTCAGATTACTAGGATGGTTCAAACCACCATTTTAAAGCTTTAAGTATACTACAACATTATTTTCAGAAGTCATAGACCAAGTAAGATGATTCACAAGCTATGGGTCCATCTACCCTCGGACCGACCCATAGACTCATTCGACACCTATTCTCCCCTTTTGAGCTCACACGATGACAATTAGCTTCCACGATCGTCGTTCCGCCCTTATCACATGTTCTAAATTAGCTTGTAGCATTATACATGTACTCTTTGTGGCATGTATTTCTTTCTTTTTTCGTATGACATTTTCTATAGCCCTCAAAGCCCTTGAAGTCCTATAAATAAGGGTTGATCAGGAATTATTTGGAGGCTTATAACCTCATGACTTGAGAACCCCAATTTTTGTGCTCTACCTCATGTATTTCCTTATTGAGATTGTAGATATTCTATCAGTCTAATCTTCATCTCTATTCTCTATAATCTCCATTCTCACCAACATGTTCTTAGCTCATCAAACAGATCTGCTAGTCAAGTCCGGCATCACCCGCTAGACAAATTTGAATCCAACATAACATAAAATAAATTTCCACGAATTACCTAATAATTAAAATCCCATGAAATGAATTAATAAATTTAATAATTAAATCTCCCAAAAAAGAACACTCAAAATCCTTGCTCAAATTAAATTATGGTAAGAGAAACTTACAATCCTTACTTTATAAGAGTAAAGTCATCCCAAAATTATTTATATGGGCTTGTTTTAATCTTAACTATTATTTTAATTTATTAGCTCTTCACTTCCCGTCCAAAATTTTCAAATAAATAGAATTTTTTTTTTAATCTTATTTGAAGAATCAATAGATTATTATAAACCATATTTGAAGGACTAATTATTCTGTGAGGACAACTAACAGAGATAATTGCTGCACTTTTGTTGTCTTTTTGCTATACTTTTGCAAAATTGCAGTAAAATAGCAGCAAAATATTTCATATATATGAAATAATTGAATACTTGTTGCTTTTTTGCTTCACTTTTACAAAAAAGATAGTAAAAAGATAATAAAATCGCATTCATAATTGAATATTTGCTGCTCTTTTATCTACACTTGTATAAAAACGTAACAAAATGGCAGCAAAAGCACAACAAATCCGGACAGTTTAATCCATCTGATGTCTTGACAAAATAATTTCTCTATTTGAAGTGCCAAAAGATACATAAAAACTCATTGCATAGTTCTAATCTCATATAAACAATCTATTGACTATCTTGACCTCTTTCTCTAATATATGACAACAATT